CCCCAAAACCCCAAAACCCCAAAACCCCAAAACCCCAAATTATCTAAATTCATTAGAATTGTTAATCAAAATGTCATTTTTCTCAATAATACTTACAATAATGTCACTTATGTCAAATACATAATAAGATTTCTCATACGATACTTTCATAGGAATCACAGATCAAAGCTCACTAGACTTCAATTTTGGAAGTAATTAGGAATATTTACCTTGATATTTAGATTTTAGATGATGCTCACCTTGGATTTTACTCTGTAGAGTTTCCTGAATAATGTGATCTAAATAGTCCATATACAAGAGATTTTCAAAGAACTCTGGGCGAAATTGAGAGACCTCCATTTGATTATTTTCATTTAAGGCAGCATAGACTAGATCCAACTATCTAAAAAACTGAATAGTATGAAAATGTTTTTTACAATTTAACAATATAGTTTTATTAATGATCCAAGCTCTGATTAGTATGCAGCGAAGATAGACTATTCTGTCAGTCCATCGAAATATCTAGGAGCAAGTTATGTAGATGATGGCACTTATTTATGGGGACCTCAGCATCATTATAAAGCCACTAAATAATTTTACAGCAGAGATTAGTTATGCCATTTTACTCTCAGATTGACGAAAAATTAAGCAAACTCAAAGGGATCCTTGACTGTGAAGCAAAAGTAACAAATCGCTTATGGGTTTGAAACAGAATTTACTGTTTAAATTCTCCACCCATCTAAGTAATCACAAACCTTTTATCTTAAATTTGAAATAGAGAATGTGTCTCAACAATTTGCAGAGAGAACTATGCCCATGGATTTTCAGTTATTTTACATAACCTAGGACCGACTATAGATTCCTCCTCAGTTACTTATGCTGAAGGATTAGGATATACCGGCTTAAATGAGGGTCTTGTAATTGAATTCGATTTTAAAACAAACCTGAATTTAAATGATCCTACTTATCCTCATCTTAGTATCTAATACAAGTAAGGAGGAACTTCGAATGATCATGACTACTCTCTAGCATTTGCTTATTTACCCTCTAATTTAGTTGACTCAAAAATACATAACATTAGAATTGTTTATAAAAGATAACTAGACAGGCTTGACTTTAAGAAAGATAATTTCAAAGTAAATACACTCAGTTAAAAATTTAAAGTTTAGTCAATATGCTGCACAATTTATGTACTCCTCATCAGCAGACTGGATGCAAAAGTATAAAATAGGTTTGCTGCAGATTTATGTAGATGATATGGAATTCCCAGCATTATCCGCTCCAATAAATATAGCTAAATGTGTTTAGTTAGATGACCATAATTCCTTAAAGTAAAGTATTGGTAAATAACAAATTTAGCACACTAGGGGTGGCAGACCCTACTTAAGCTGGAAAAGGATATATTTCAATAACTTCAACTACTGATGCAGATCGTTTTGGGGTATTTTAATTGTTAAGGTGGACTTATAGCAGTCATCCCTAATGCCCAATTACTCAAGTTTGGTGCTCTAATACTAAAGATATAGCTGCAACATCATATTTAAAGATCACTATAATGAACATTGGAACTGAAAAACTTTATGTCAAGTTTAAGTACTAAGAGAGTCACCTCTATTCAATTTTAAATTGGTTTGATTGCAGAGTTCCAGTATTAAATGACGAGTATTTCGAGTATAAGGAGATTAAAATTGAGACTTCAATATATGATAATGCTATCTACGGCTGCAAAATGACTGTATTTTATGATAGCACAGTAGATGATATAATTATTCATGATATCGGCAATTCTACTTGGAATTCTATTGTCAACGTCTACGGTACATTCGATAATAGTTTCCTGCTTATTGTAAATATGGCATTAATCTATTGGTAAGTGATTTAGAATGATTTAATATTAAGTCATATATTATATATAAGACATAAGCATTGAATTTGCTATAAATTACTCATCAAATTTATATTTACATACGATACCTATTCATCACTCCATTTAATATTTGATCATTTGTGCTCTGAGTTTCTAATCTTGATGTTGTTGCATTTGAATCTTCCCCTCTTCTATTATTAGTAGTGAGAGGGAAAATATTTTTGAAACCTGGATTAGGGCTTCCAAAAATATTCTAGGCTGCATTATTTACAAAAGTGCTGCTCCCTTTATTGAAAAAGACTCCACTGTTTGGCTCACTGCCAATGCGAGACATAGATGGCTTATAACTATGATTTGTGCGAGGCATTTAGTGCTTATAATATTCATGTTCCTCTCTAGTTTCCTCTACCTTGTCTAGACCTATACCTGCTCTGTATTGATAAGTAGGTGAATTTGACTTAGAATTGTTTGCAGCTTGAGCATTAGAATTCTAGTAATAGTTGACGAATTTATTGACAGTATTGATAGTGTCATTAGTGTTCATTGAATCGTTAGAATCTTGCTTACTTATTTACATATTTGAGTTTTAAAACGGTGAAAAAATATCTCTGTTTGAGCTAAAATTAAACAGATTATCTGGCTTAGAAGATTGCCTAGCTAAACCAGGTGATAAGATGTTATCCGCAAAATAATCGTTTTTAGTCAAGTTAAAAGATTCTATTTTTTCTTCTTAATCTTTTTGATAATTTTAAAATGTTTTTTCGCCAATCCCCTTTTACTGTGATAATTTGTTCATTGATTAAATACTAACCATTGGTGAAATTTATGGAGATTGTATGTTATTGATATTATTATTGCTGCTGATATTTGGATAGTTTGATTTATCAATTTTTACAGAGAGGTTCATATTTATGTATCTATTAGGATTAAGGAGCATAGAACTTCCACTGCCTTAAAGAATGCTCTGTGAACCTACTCGAGACAGCATTTAAGATGATGGATTATTCTCCAACTTTTTTGGAGACTAAATTTGGGATTGTTCAAATTGAGAATAACTTGTTTCAGATACATTTGATGCTCTTTTGCGCTCATCCTCCATTCTTTTAGCAAAGGATGGTGGTTCATCTTTTCTCATAGGGAATGCTTGCAAACCTTTGTAGCTAATAATATCTGAATTAGCATTAGTAGAGGGATCTGATATTCTTTTGAAACCTGAAAAATCGTTCTAAAATGCTTCATCAAGATCAGTTTTATTGCTATTATAACGATTTTTATCTACTTCTGACTTTAGTGAAAAATTTATTCCAGGTTAAAATTAGACAGGCTTAGGAATTTCGTTTTCAAAGTAATTTGGAATATATTGCATTTCACTTTGAAATTTTTAAAGTGGAGCAACACTTACTCTAGGTGCTACTAAATTATTTTTATTTTCCTCTAATTAAACCTTTGCTTATGTTTAAACTACTGGCATTGACTCTCTATTTTTAACTTACTTGAATGAATCCCTTCTCAATTATTATGGTTTAGGTTTCAAGATAGGTTTTATTAAAGGAGGAGGTTACGATTCTTACTGATAATAATTTTAACTCCCAGACTTAGGATCTATTTTCCTTGCAGAAATAGGCGAAGTGATATTTAAACTCGATATGAATTGCTGCAAGTTACAATTTTTGAAATATGGCTCTTAGAGCAGTTATTATGCAGTTACTCTTTTCCCAGGATTGATTTTGAACATAAGTTTGAAAATTTCAAGAGCATCTGAGCTTGCAGAAGGGATTAAATTTTTCATCGGTTGCTTCTTATAAGCCATTTCTTCAAGTTTAATATTTCTTTTTTAAGCCAATTTGTATCCTTCTCTCCACTACTCCAATCTTGGAGTTCCAAGAAGCTTAAATATCTAATCTAGTTAATCTAGTTCATTAGCTCCAGGGAATAGTGGGCTCTGATTGAATAATTCTGCCATAACACAGCCTACTGCAAAGATATCAGTTGTCTGATTGTAACTACTAGACCTTAATACCTATTCAGGACTCCTATACCATCTTGTAGATACGTAAGTAGTCAAAGGTCCACTTGCTTTTCCAAGATCTCTAACAGTTCCAAAGTCGATCAACTTTACTTCAAACGTTTTGGTTGATATTACAAAGTTTTCTGGCTTAATATCTCTATGGATAAAACCTCTAGAGTGCATATAGTCTAGACCTTAGAGTATTTATTTGATAATGACTTTGATTTCATTCTCAGACAAATTTCTATTATCTTTTTATTTTTTTTCGCGCATAAAGTCAGTCAAGTTGTGGTCCAAATGTTCAAAGACCATATATACACGATTGTCTACAAGGTCGCATTTTTTCATTTGAACAATATTCTGATGTGATAACTATTATAATACCTAAATCTCGCGAAGACTAAATGCATCCTCTTAAGTCGTATAGGGTTTTTTTAATTTTTTAATGGCTACTGTTTCTCCGCTCTTCATATCAACGCATTTATAGACATTACCGAACGTTCCAGAACCTAATTTATCGATTTACTTGTACTGTCCGAGGAGAATATCATCCTTACGTGAGGATTGATTCCCATTATTTTTACTCATTTATTTCGTAAACCAAAGAATGATTTCAATATAAAATTCAATAATCTTTTTTATTATTTAAAGAAATTATAACTTCACAGCGGGGTTTTGGGGTTTTGGGGTTTTGGGG